TGTAAAGTTGACTCATCATTTTGGCCTTTAGTTGTAATTCCGCAAAAGGTACAAACTTATAACACCTTATGAGCCATGACCCATGCTTTGTCTCATCTTATTTTATTATGGTAAGTTAGTTCAATAGTAGTAAGTAGTTACTATGGCCCATGAACACCTGCAAATAACTACAAATGAAGATAGTTACAGATGCGTTGTCACATCTGAGGAATAAAATGGCATGGCTTATAGCCTGTAACTATACTGGCTCTCTATAGGCTGGTACATGGCGCCTGAAATAGATTACAAGGTGGTACCTAATCAAAGGAACTTCTAGTTAGAAAAGGAGTACTAACAACAAGTAGATGTAGAAGTAGAATGGAGTGATTAACTCACTTCATATGGCGATTGAGTTTATATTAAATTATTAAGAAACAAAGAAAAACATAACATATGTGTTCACCTAGAAGTGTGAATAATATCAATATTTAAATATTGTTATCACATCTAAATTGAGATTTTGCAAGTCACGCCTTTTGACACTCGGCTCATATCTGAGGTCACTGTCCGTTTTTCTCAATCGATTTGGCACGTACTATAGTTACTTATTGTTTATAAGAACGAAATCAGTCACTTTTTAAAAAAAGACCTAGACGCGTCGACAACCAATATGGAGATATATTACTGAAAGATTTAACATATTATATAATATATATATATATATATATATTATATATATATATATATATATATATATATAGACGAAAAGTAGTATAGATAAGATTTTTTTTGTAGTTTAAGTATAAAAATGCAATAAAACACTTTACCCGAACCTGTTATACAGCTTTTTTTCTCCCTGCTTTTCTCTCGACGATAAGAGCCCATCAAGGATTCCATTTTCTTTTTTAATTCCTTGACAGGAAGATTCATTTGTGCTGATATTTGCCGCCAACTATCTTCTCGCTGATTTTTATTTAAATATTTAGAATCTTTTGTATCCTACAGCATATTGTATCTACCGTACAGTTGAATTAAACGAATCGACTCGTCTTGATTGCTCATGATATTATATTATTAAAGTGACTTTTCGGTAAAACTAAAACAAACACTACTATATCGCCTCGCGAGCGAAAATACCACCCTACATATCAAACGAACAGCGAACACCGAGGCACCTTTGAGCACGTCCAATTTACCGACAACGTATGGCTCGGGGTCGAGCGGCACTCGGTCGAGGCAACGTGTGCCCAAGGCAGCCCGAGGCACGTCAACACCAGCCGAGGCATTTGGCTCGCAAGGCTGCCGCGCGTTCCCGTACGCTATATAGGTATGTACGGCTATTAAGTAATGTAAAGAAGTCTATTAACCAGAATATATTTTATATTTTTGTATATCTAGTTGAGAATTGAACTGAAGTTTTAATAGTCTATTCCGTACATTTTAAAAATATGTAGAATCTACCAACTATATTTCTAGAAAATTTTTAAATTTATTTAATTCTTTTTAGTTCTTTAAAGTCCGATTTTGCTTTTTGTTGTATTTAACTACCGGTTAATTGATGTTCTTGTTTATCGTTTAAACAATGATTGATAGTAGATTTTAATACGATTTTGTGTATTAAGTGTTTGCGTATGTGAACTATTAGTGCAAACGACGAAACAAGTGCTCCGATGTTGATATAAGCCACCAGTCTTTATGTCCGCTAAGGTGCCCTAAAAACTACTAGTATCTCATACTGTTGTTATTATCAAAATATGTCTCAAAAATTTCGCAATGTAACGCATTAGCATATTATGATGAAGTTTTTGAAATAAAATATAAAGGATAATTTCTTTTTACTGGCTAAAATATAACCGGACACATCCATTACCAAGGAAAAAACTCTAACTGTCAAAAGTGTAACTTTTTTGGTTGTTTGTTTAAGGGCAATTGGAAACTTTTGGCGGGCTCTTGGCGATCGTTTTTTTTTTTTTTTTGTTTCGTTGTTTTGTGCAATATTTTTTATCTATTGGTGTAAACACGTGTAATGGCTCCTCGCTTCTGTTTCGCCTTATCCTTTTTAGGAATAACTATGGTGTAACCGTGTAACCGCCGTCTTCAAACACCTGCCGTTTCCTGCAAACATTTGTTTTGAATGCTAAACTTTAAAATTATGAATGAGAATTGTATTTATATTAACTTTTTTAATAAATTTAAGAATATCAACGCCTTATAATCTTACAGTTTTTAGTTTTCAAGTGGAGAAGAGATCAATGACTTAAATAAATGTGTAAGTATGGTTGCGTGTCTCTTTTTTTAATTATATATATATTGTGATAGTTAAATAATTTAACGTTGATATAAGTTATGACAAAAAAACTTTAGCAAATGACTGCCGCATTGTATTGTCTATGTGATTTAATTAAATGATGTTGTGCAGTTAGTTTAGTTTAGGAACGAAGCTGTCGTGCATTATAGCTTGCAGGGCCCATAATAGAATTATTTGTTTAGGAATGAATAACAACTTACTTAAAGTTATCAAACAATTGTCCATAGAGCCTCAAAAAAAATCATTTCGTATTTTACCTACTTGTACACATAATCCAATTTGAAACAAAACATGAAATACCATATCTGATGCTAATTAATATTAATAAATAAATTAGCCACGTATCAGTCCATGTATTTTACACGCGAAGTAAAATAGTTAATTTGGTACCCTGTTAATGACTAAGTTGCAATTAACATGTTTTTATTAAAGATTTTATTGAAACTTCAGAACTAAATCAGTTTGATGTTAATGTTAGGCTCAAACATTTTAACAATCTTTAGCTGGAGATTTTTATGAGTCCCTCAGTCAGAACTCTTATCAATCTTATAGAAACCAATATAATAAAATACCCCACAAATTAAAATTATTCAGGATAATATTATATATGTTTGCTTTCACTCAGTGACTATCCATAAAAACAGAGGTATTAATTTTTTTGAAAAAAAAAAATGCATAGGGTAAAACAAATTGTAAATACAAAATAATAAATTATATATTTTTGTGACATATAATAATGATGCTTCATTATTTATTCTTTTTTTCATACTTGTCACCACACATAACACTTATTATGAACAAAAGATTTACGTCTGTATTTACAAACACAACTGTCTTAAGTATAGGAGCAATGCTAGGAAAAGTAAGATTTCTCAGTGCATGTGGTATGGCAAGCCATTCATTTCAAGAACAATACTCAAAGAATGTTGAGCATACACATAGCAATTATTTATTTATTTAAGACAGCTGACAGATAAGTATCATTCTCTATATGTATCAACAGATTTTACTTACAATTAGGTAAAAAACTCACTTACAGGTAGTACAGCACACACAGTTATAAAAATAATAAATAGCAGTAAGACACATCAGTACTAACCTAATTCATTAAAAACAAATAATGATAAAATATGGATTAAAACTAATGCAATACTTGAAATAACATTAAATTATTTTATAGTATAAGTTAAAACTAAAATGGATAAATTGTCGTATATTTAAAACAAGCATGATCTAGCATTGAATGGATGCAGTGATTGGTTAACGTTGGATGAAACCACCTGAGTTGACTGATGGATAAACAAACATTCAAAACCAAGATCAAATCCAAAGTTACCATTGTGTAATTGGCTTCTTCCTTCATTATGGGTGCTAAAAACAAGTACATAGTAATAATCTTGCAGTGACATATTCTCTATGCCTTTATATATCTTATGAAAATTTATGTTTATAGTAACACAAAATCTTTGGCACTGTAAATGAAGCTGTAAGAGCCACATAGGCTAATAAGTACAAACTTCTCAAAAATAGATTTGTATTGATTTCTTGCACTGCACATAGCATATGTTATGCTAGCGAGCTACTTTATATGTGTGTATTATATAATGAAGGCATAGTTTGTTCATCAAGTGTTGTTTATGATTACATTTTCTATACCTTGTGCATTTAAACGCATTCTGATACCGTAATGTTATTTTGTAAATACTAATTTTTGTACAATACAACAACAATAACCACCATTACTTTTTCAGTCAATAAAGATACAAACAACTACTTTAAACAGTTAAGCAAAAAACAAAAAACAATCTTAGCAGACTTACAGTAGAGCTTGTAAATTTATATTATATATATTATTTAATGTTGGGAATTCTCTTATAAGTTATCATGGGTGATTTAAAATTGAAGTAGCTAGTTAAAATTGAAGTAGGTAGTGACTTCAGTAATAGTAGTATAGTTTTAGTGATATTATAATAATAATGATATATTACGTAAAACTTACAGATAATAAAAAATATGGGAATTTTTATTATTATTTCAGTACAAATATATTAGCATATTTTATATAGTATTATTAATTTATCAGCATGTAATGATTCAACTTAGTACAACAGCGGACAGCCACTAGGTGGTAGGCTCCTTTTTTGCTCGGAGCCCGTCTAGGTACCACCCTCTTATATATCAATCGCCAAATAGCAGTGCTTGCACTGATGTGTTCCGCTCTGAAAGGTATGGAAAACCAGTACAATAACATGCTGTGAGTCATGCCAAAATAGTCTTGGTATGTAGCTCTTTTTATTTGAAGTTGGTTGTAGGTCTATGAACTGCTTCACTGCTGTTAGTTGAACTTTAAGTCTGTTTGTGCATGCGTTGCAGTTCCCTATTCACAGTAGGAAGTATCTACTGTAAATTTCATGCTGGGCAGGCAGCTTGGCAATCTCAGTATTATCTTGCACCTATGATGCTACTATTCGTTGTCTACCTGGGTATTTTACATCTGCTATATACAGCATGGTCTTACTATCTTACCTTACGAATGTTTGGAGGATGTGAGATCTTTCAGGTTTTTCTTATAGTCGTCTCTTACGACAATTATAAGATAATAGAATCTCGTACGCTGTTACCGCACGTCATAATTTGAATAAAATTTTCTTGAAACCATTTCACCTTAGCTTAATTACAGAACATAAAAGATTTTTTTTATTTCCAGTTTAACATGGAACCAGTGGACAACAACATTTTCGAAGTGAAGCCTAATTCTAAAACTAAGAGGAAGAGAATCATACCGCAGTCCAATGTTTTTTCGAATCCGGCATTAGACCTTCTGGCAAACGAAGATCCCATGTGCAACAACGCGATGGAAATTACATCAAATAAACGACGGAAGAGGACCAGAAGTTGTGAAATTGTTGCATTTGAAAACTCTGCTTTAGACTTAGGAATAAGCAGATCAGCAGTTAATGATTTTTTAATTAGAGAATTAGATAACGTACGTAAAAATGTCAGAGCATATGCAAGCCCGGTAAAATTAAGCAGCAGTTGCACTTCCGTACCAAACACTAATATTAATGAACCATTGTATGCTAATTTGACAGAAGTTTCAAATATACACCATAACCAAGCTAATGCCTTGACTCCAGATATCTCCAGTGAAGATAGTACTACGGATATTCAAAACAGTTTAGAACATACGGGCTTAAATAATATTAATGAATTGGATTCTGGTATTTCAATACTAGAACAAAAATCTTTAAATACAGCCATTACTACAGATCTGGACACAGATTTATCTGCCATTAACAACATATCTAATATTCAGAGCAACGTGACAAACGAAATATTCATTAGTAATACTAGCAGTTTGAACTTAAGCTTTATTGATAGACTTGCATTGGAATCGCCTTGCGTTTCTAACCAATCACTTTATTTAGATGACGATTTAAACGAAAGTAACATTATGGAGATTAAAACAATAACGATTGTTACTAAAAAGAAACGTATACCTCAAAAAATATCTACGAATCCTTTCTTAAATTCCAATTTAGAACCAAGAGTGGTAGTCAGTGAAAATCCATTCACATCTGTTGATGAATCCAAAACAGAATTAGAGTACAACATGGAAGCTATTAGTAGACCAATAACAAATCAGGTAGCGCCGGTAAAGCATTTATTGCCACGAATATTATTCGCCGGCGATACGAACAGTACTATATCCACTGTTAACGAATCGTCTATAAATATCGATAACCACGATTATGAAAATATTGACAACTACAGATGTGAAAGCCCAATTTACGAAAATATCGATGATGACGTAACCAACGATGGTTCCGGTAGTTTTAATAAACAAAGCAAAATTCTCGGCCATGACGTGTCGCGGTTTAGTGCCGTAGATATTATGAACTTAAACAAAAATAGCGAAGTTAATTTCTCAAGCGATTCTAACTATAGTAAGAAAGATCTGAAGCATCTCTTGAAAGCAAGTAACAAACTGTCTAAGAAGGTTTTAAAAACTTTAAAAAAGACTTTCAAAGGAGAGAAAGTCGAGCATAACACTACACTTAATCCCTACGAAGTACCACGGAAACCGCCCAAACAAAAAACTGCTGTTAAGGAATCTGGAATTGAAAATCCAGCTCTTAAGCTAGATAATTCAGATGAAATAGAAATACAGGAGATAGATGATGATGAAAATCAATATGAAACCATAAAGACATTACGCAATACAAGGTTAAATATGAATGTAACCCCACTTAAGGAGAAAACGAATGACACTATAGATCTATCTAGTACTAAAATCGTCACCCCAGGAAAAAAAGTGCGTTTCGATTCCACATTGAACCGAGAGAAAATTATAACTGGCGATAGTTTTGACTGTGGTATTCAAAGCCCGGGATTTGATGCAAAGATTGATACATATCATGATGAGTTAGAAAATTGTATCAATGAGAAGAAATTTATACAGCAAAATATGTGAAGGAGTGATTCGTTGGAGTATTTTACTACTTTCGTCGAAATTTTCTATTCTAGATTTAGACTGAGTTTTATATAATTATAATTATGAGGCATTTCATTAAAAAGTATTTGTTTTACGCGTCCAAAGCATAATGTCCAAAATCTTTAACTTTTTAATTAAATATGTACATATATTTATGTCACAATAAGATATTTTCATAATTTTACATGAAATTTTTACTTTAAAAGTAGATTAAGACTTTTTTACTCTTTTACTTATGTACTTAATTTTTTTCATTTATTATAAGAAATGCACTACTTATTGTATACCAAAGGTATTTTGTCAGTGAAGCAAATTTTACAGTTTTTTAGCATGTGCTAACCGGTAACCGGTACCAGTTTTTTTAAGGCTCTCTATTGAACTAAGTCATTCTATGTACCTATTTTTATTTATATTTCAAGGCTGGATCTTGCCAAATAAACTATTTTGATAAATATAGTTTGTTTTTGTGTTCAATAGTAAGTGTTTGTGTGTTACATGTAAGGATACCCGTTGTGTTGCTCACCTATGAGCTATTATGACTAACTATTGTGAGGTTTGCCAAAATGACGACGAAATTAATGAGAACGATTGTTAACGAACATCTCTTTTTTATAGAAATAGTGTAACAAACGAGCACACAGGTCCACCTGATAGTACCCATAGATGTCTACACTTATCCTCGAATAATAATCAAAATGCATAATATGCATTGTCACCCCTGAGGACTAAGAAGAAATGATTCGTTTCCTTCGATCTTCGTCGTCTTCGTTTCTCTACACTAACCATAAGAGACACAGCAGCATTAAGCTCCACTAATCCCATTAAGTCCCCGACCTATTCGTGCTACAACCATAGTATAGACCACATACAAGTCTCGTGACAGAGTTGATTACATCTTATTTCATTTACCCTGTGTCGCTTCTCACGACACCCTCGGGACGTTATAGGGTAGAGGATTTCCTACATGATTAATCTAGGAGGGAGGCCTACGTTGAGCTACGTTGAGGACTTTTGTGGGTTGTAATGGATAGATGGAACGATGGTATAATCTCATCGTGTCTAACCCCGCTGCTACATGTTTGTATATACTGGGTGATTTTTTTACTGTCTGGAAAAATGTACGGGTGTACGGAACAGAAGCCAGTGGCGCTGATATTTTAATTTTTTTTTTACGTTAACGTAATATTACGAAATTAATCTACCAATAAATACTACTAATTGGGTAGGTACGTATTATTTTAATTTCAATTGGTTATAATTGATTTATTTTTGCGTGGTAGAGCCATGCTGCAGTTATATTAGTAGTATAGTTGTAGCACGGATGGGTCGGCTCGGCCGGGGAAGGACCACGCTCTCACAGAATACCAGCGTAAAATAGTAGCTTAATGCTGCTGTATTTCTTAAGCCCCATTTACATTCAGCCACTGCCACTGCTCCTCGCGCTGCCGGCAATACTTCCCTAAATACTGCCGTAGCAGGATCGCGGGAAGTGTGTATTCACATCCTACCACTCACATCGCTTTCGGCTTTCGACTATGGCAGACGTCGAAATAATTACAGCGTCCGCGCTGTGTCTTCTTGCAATACAAAGTTATGTTAATAATTTAAAAAGATATCAAGTTCAAAAGAAGATAGATAGATAGATAGAAAATTTATTTGCTTAAAAACATGGTACATAAGATGATCAATGACGTGGAACGACATGTTTTGCCATATTTTGCATGCAAAAATGATATGAAATACAGCTAATTACACAAACCCGATGTTGGCTTAAAAGTTAGGTACACACATTCTTTTTGAATTCAAATATTATGTACAATTAAATACTTATACAGATTCACTCTATTTGAATTCTTATACAGTAAATTGTTCATAAATTATTAATTGAATTATTATATTATTGTTACATAAATAATGTTAAATATTATATGAGATTAGTTAAGCTATTATTATTTTATTAATTACACTTCAGTATAAACTAATTTGTAATTTTAATTACAATAAAATTATAATTTAAAAATCTCAGGCTATTATGCAAATATTACCTTTTAACTTATTTTACATTTTAATTAATAAATAACCAATATGAGTTACCAATCGTTTTTAGAAATAAAATGTCAATGTTCATTAATTCCTTAAACTAAATTTTATATTAATATAATAAATATTGACGAATTTATAATATAATTATGTAGGTACTATGTTAACTCAAAAAAGAAAATTCGTATTCGTAGAAGATGATGAATTGTGGTTTTTATCGTTGAAATCCCATATAGTTTTTTCTGATTCCAGCAGTTCTAAAAACTTTATTGTATTTTCATTAATCCTTACTCGAAAGGCATTTTGGTAGATCGTATTTATTTAAAAACAGGACGGCACGCACGTCCGTTCATTCAGGCGCATGGCGGCGCGAAGTGAGCGGTGGAGCTGAATGTGAACACTCACTGCCGCTCGCGCTGCCCGTTCTTTGACTTCCGCACAAAAAACCGACATTTTCTTCGGGCAGTGTCAGCGGCAGCGGCAGTGTCAGCGCGAGTAGCCTGTTTACATACTGCCCTGCTCACTCTTCCCTGCCCAAACGGGCTGAATGTAAATGGGGCATTATAGAGAACCGGAGACACTTTTAACTCGAAATTACTGGAAACGAGGCATTACATCTTAGTCCTCAGCTCGCGGGTGACTACGTATCTTCTCTTTGATTCGTAATCGAGGATATATATATAGATGTAGATGTCTATGGACCAAAGCAAACACTTACCATAAAAAAGAAACATTTTTGTGCCATTTTTTAGTATTGAAAGTTTATTTCAAATTAGTGGTATTTATTGATAGATCAATTTTATAAAATGTTAATCATCATCATCATCATTACAGCCCTTCACAAGTCCACTGCTGAACATAGGCCTCCCCCAAGTAATGCCACAAAGCACGGTCCTGAGCCACCTGCATCCATCGACTTCCTGCATATCTTACCAGGTCGTCACTCCATCTAGTGGGGGGTCGCCCTACACTACGCCTACCGGTACGAGGCTGCCACTCGAGAACCTTTCTTCCCCATCGGTTATCGGTTCTTCGAGCTATATGGCCGGCCCATTGCCACTTCAGCTTACTAATCCGTTGGGCTATGTCGGTCACTCTGGTTCTACTGCGGATATCCTCATTTCTGAGTCTATCACGCAGAGAAACTCCGAGCATAGCCCTCTCCATAGCTCGCTGAGCGACCTTGAGCGTCCTCATACGGCCAGCAGTGAAGGACCACGTCTCAGATCCGTAAGTCATCACTGGCAACACGCACTGGTTGTACACTTTAGTTTTCAGAGATTGAGGTATACCTGACGAGAAGATGTGTCGTAATTTCCCGAACGCTGCCCAGCCGAGTTGAATCCGTCGATTGACCTCTCGGTCGAAGTTGGACTTACCTAGTCGGACTATTTGTCCCAGGTAAACGTACTCGTCAACAACTTCGAGCATAGTGCTCCCCACAACTACCGGCATAGGTGTGACATGGACATTGAACATAATCTTTGTTTTGTCCATGTTCATCTTAAGACCTATCCGTTGGGAGACACCATTGAGGTCATTGAGCATAGTGCTAAGGTCCTCCAGCGATTCTGCCATAAGGACTATATCGTCGGCAAATCGAAGGTGAGTGATGTACTCGCCATTGATGTTAATACCGTATCCTTTCCAGTCCAGTAGCTTGAAAACGTCTTCCAAAGCAGCGGTGAAGAGTTTCGGGGATATAACGTCACCCTGTCTTACACCTCTCTGCAGTTGGATAGGTTTCGAGCTCTGGTTCTGTACTCGGATAGCCATCGTAGCCCTACTGTACAAACACTTCAGCACTTCGATATACCGACAGTCAACTTGGCACCGCTGAAGGGACTGCAGCACCGCCCAAATTTCGACGGAATCAAAGGCTTTCTCATAGTCCACATACGCCAGGCAAAGTGGCAAATTGTACTCGTCAGTCTTCTGTACAATCTGCCGCAGGGTATGTATGTGGTCTATGGTACTGAAGCCTTTTCGGAAACCGGCTTGTTCGGGAGGCTGGAAGTCGTCGAGTCTGCTTGCGAGACGATTCGTAATGACTCTCGAAAACAGCACGTAGACGCGGCTCAGAAGGGAAATCGGTCTGTAGTTCTTCAAGAGAGCGTTGTCGCCTTTCTTAAAGAACAAGACCACCGCACTTCTGCTCCACGCCTCTGGAGTAGTGCCACCATGGAGGACGGAATTGAAGAGCTTCTGAAGGACTTCAAGTACCGGTGTTCCACCCGCTTTCAGAAGCTCCGCTGTAATTCCATCCTCGCCCGGGGCCTTGCCGTTTTTAAGGTGTTGGAGAGCCATTCTAATCTCGCTCAGACTGACGTCCGGGATATCATCGGAATAGTGTCGGATAAGACTTGCTCTTGGATCGTTACTCACACTTGAGTGTGGCTCCAACGATGATGTGTACAGCTGCCCATAGAACCTCTCAATCTCACTCAGAATCTCAGGTGTCCCGGAAACGATGTTGCCACACTCAGTCTTCAGCCTTGACAGTTGGCTCTTTCTGGCAGACAGATCTCTGGCAAAGACTTTGGAGCCCTGGTTCCGCTCGATCGCTTCTTTAATACGAGAAGTATTAAAGTTGCGTAAGTCTCGCCGCATGCATTTGGAGATCTGTCTATTCAGTTGCCTGTATGCTGTCAAATCTGTTGACGATTGCAGCCTCATCTCCCGTCTAACAGCCATGAGATTAAGAGTGTGATCGGAGAGTTTTTGTGTTCTTCTGCGGCGGGTCTTGCAGAACTTAGCTCCGACCGCATGGACAGTTTCCACGAGCTTGTCATTCATATCGTCCACTGCATTGCAATCTTGTAGGCACTGAAAGCGGTTGTGTAACTCGAGCTGAAAGTTTTCGGGATTCTGGATTAGAGCACGAGGGGGACGGAGCGTTGACTTCATTAGACGAGACCTCTCCAACTTAACGTTTAGGT